CTACAGTTCAATTTATAACTTTACTGCTTTTTGTGCTACCACCCCCAAATTTATCAGTGACTCTATAGTATCTTACAGTTGGCTCTTAGTACTTAAGTATGTTATATAATTTTCAAATGGTATGATATTGTGGAGGTTCAATGCATATTTGTACACCTGAAAGCAGCTATAACAGAAAGTATCCCTGCTGCGTGGCTTATGGAGAAGTACTGGAGTAGCTTAGACGCGCTCTCCGATTATACTTTTGAGTTGAATTATGTGATTCTCATTTCTTAAACACACATTGTAGATGGTTCTACCAATTATTTTCTCCATGATTTTTGAATCTTGTAATCTCCAAACAATTGAACAAGAATTCGTCAGCCTTTATGTTATGATGTGTGGCAAGAAAAATTATTTTTACAGTAAAGTAACTTGCATTTTCTTCTTCTTGCATTGAAATTGAAACCGGGAAGAGAGGAATAGAAGTAGAAACACTAATAGAGAGAAGTAATTGTTATATTCCTTCAACCATGTACAGCCCTATTTATAGGGATAGAAAACATACCAAAGAAGGTAAAATATATACAAGATCTCTAACTAAGGAAATAATATATCTACTGTCTATAATAAACTGGTATAAATCAACCACTCAATATTCTGGAATCTTCAACACTCCCCCTCAAGATGGGTGATATAAGTTAAACAATCCTAGCTTGTCCACCATCTTTTCGAACATTGGTTTAAATAACCCCTTTGTCAATACGTCTGCAGCCTGTTCAGATGAAGGCAAATACACCATGCATATGGTCCCATTTTCTATCTTCTCTTTAATAAAATGTATATCCACCTCAACATATTTTGTCATGTCATGATGAACTGGATTGTGTGACATTGCAATGGCTGCTTTGTTATCACAATAAACTTTCATAGGCTTATTTTCCTAAATACCAAGCTCTTCCAACAGTAACTTTAACCACATGATTTCACAGATCCCATGCGCCAAAGCCCTGAATTTCGCTTCAGCACTACTTCTGGCAACAACTGGTTGTTTCTTACTTCTCCAGGTAACTAGATTTCCCTACACAAAGGTACAATAACCGGTCGTAGATCTTTTGTCCATGACTGACCCTGCCCAATTAGCATCTGTAAAGATTTCAATAGATCTTTCTGAATTCTTCTTGAAGAGGAGTCCAAGTCCAGGAGTCCCTTTTAAATACCTCAAGAATTAGTAAACAGCCTCCATATGCTTCTTAAATGGAGCATGCATGAATTGGCTCACAACACTTAGTGCAAAAACAATGTCAGGCCTAGGCTTAGTGTGTGACAGGTAAACGAGCTTTCCAACAAGTCGCTGATATCTTCCTTTGTCAACTGGTGTACTTCCTAAGCAATCCCCCAGTTTATGATTGGGATTTATAGGAACATCTGCTGGTTTACTTCCTAACATACCTGTTTCTCTTAAGAGATCCAAGATATATTTTCTCTGGGAAATTGAGATTCCACTCCTATTTCTTACGACCTCTAGACCAAGGAAGTACCGTAAAGGACCTAAGTCTTTTATTTCAAACTCGACAGAAAGAGCTTTCTTCATCCTCTCCATCTCTTCATAGTTGTTACCTGTCGGACTATATCATCCACATAGATAATTAGGATGGTAATTTTTTCCCTTGAGCTCCTGTAGAACATAGTATGATCAGATTGGGCTTGCTTATATCCTTGTTGACATACAGCCTTCATGAACCTCCCAAACCAAGCTCGTGAAGATTGTTTCAGCCCATATAAGGATTTGTTCAGTTTATAGACCTTTCCCTGGATTTTAGCTTTATCAAATCCAGGAGGGAGTTCCATATAGACTTCTTCTTCCAAGTCACCATTCAAGAAATCATTTTTTACGTCTAGTTGTTGAAGTTCCCAGTCTAGGTTTGCTGCTAATGTCAAGAGGACTCTCACCGTGTTTAACTTTGCAACTGGAGCAAAAGTTTCCTGGTAGTCAACTCCATACGTTTAGGAATATCCTCTTGCTACTAACCTGGCTTTATAGCGCTCTACCTAGCCATCTGACTTGTACTTAACAGAGAACACCCATTTGCACCCAACAGTTGACTTATCCTTAGGTTTCTCAATAATCTGCCACGTTCTATTCTTATTCAGGGCTTCCATCTCTTCCTCAACTGCTTTTCTCCATTCTGGAATTGATAGGGCTTCATGAATAGATTTTGGTATCACAATTTGTCCCAGGTTTGCAGCCAGAGCTTGAACTGAATTAGATAGATGACTGTACCCTACAAAGTTGGAGATAGGGTGATGTGTACACGATCGAACTCCCTTTCTGAGAGCAATGGGAACATCCAAATCATTAGTAGAGTCATTTTGTGGGGTAGAGAGATTACCTAAATTCAGATCGGATTCATGGCTTTGCGATTGAACCATGAGATGTTCCACTGTTTCAGGATTTCTCCTCCTAGAATAAACACGTAGCTCAGGTGTAATTACAAGTTGTTTGTCTCCCCCTATTGTTAGGCTAGGCTGCACTCGAGGATCAATACTCTGTAATGACTCACTGGGAGGTGCGGAGTTTGATATAAGGAGTTCGGATTTTTTGATGGGTGATATAGATATTTGTGGTATAGTTTCCCAAAAATTACCATCATTACCATCATAATATTCACTATTGTGTTCCTCCCCCTAAGGGGAATTTTGGGGAAAGTAAGGAAGAGACTCAAAGAATGTAACATCCATAGATGTGCAATATCTACGAGTGACGGGGGAATAACACTTGTAACCTTTTTAGGATGGAGAGTATCCCAAGAACACACATTTTCGAGCCTTAGGATCGAGCTTAGTACGTTCATGATCATGGATGTGAGTGAAGGTAGTACACCCAAACACTTTCAGGGGTATAGCGAGTATGGAACGTATATGTGGGTAAGCGTTTGACAGAACTTGTAACGGGGTTGTGAAGTTGTGTATCCGAGTAGGCATTCGGTTTATGAGGTAGCATGCAGTGAGAACTGCATCCCCCCAGAAGGTTTTTGGAACAGTACTAGTGAACATAAGGGTTCTAGCAGTCTCGAGAAGGTGGCGATTTTTCCATTCTGCAATTCCGTTTTGTTGGGGAGTAAAAACACAAGAACTTTGATGGAGAATACCTTTCGCATTGAGAAAATTTCCCAAAACTTGGTTAAAGTATTCCCGCCCATTATCGGTTCGCAAGACTTTTATCTTGACATCAAATTGAGTGTGAATCATAGTATAAAAGTTTTGAAAGGTTTGTGCAGTTTCAGACTTATCTTTTAAGAGGAAGACCCAACAAACTCTTGTGTGATCATCTGTAAAGGTGATGAACCAACGTTTACTCGTAGTACTCGTTACCCTAAAAGGCCCCCCACAAGTCACTATGTATTAAAGTGAAAGGTGACGAAAATTTATAATCAAGAGATTGAAAAGGCGAACGAGCATGTTTAGCAAGTTGACAAATATCACAATGGAACGAATCTTTAGTACGAAACAATGATGGAAATATAAGTTTAAGATATGAAAAATTAGGGTGACCTAACCGACGATGCCATAATACAATTTCTTGTTCTCTAGGGGTAGACTTGCAGTATGAGCTTGTTTATTCCAGTAGGTGTCCTCCATAAAATAGTATAGTCCCTCACATTCTTTAGCATTGCCAATCCTCTTCCCCGAAGTTAGGTCCTGAAAGATACACAATGACTTAGTAAAATTGACACCACACTGCAAATCTTTTGTTAACTTGCTAATAGAAAGAAGGTTGCAAGATAAATTTGGAACATGTAACACATATTTTAATTCAACATATGCCTAACTCCACCTAATAAAACCAGTTTATTAGGGGAGGATTACCCTCACCTTATTAAGTGGATCATTTATATTTTTCCAAGTAATGTGAGATTCTAATACGCCCCCTCACGCACAGCGTGGACCATATCAAACAACTGTGAATAAATCGATATTGGGTGNAGTAATTTTTCTAGTCCTTGTCACGGGGTAAGTAGTGTGGGCCCACATCAATCCTGTGGTAGGCTCTGATACCATGTAGAAATTTATGGGCCTAACTCATCTCATAAAACCGGTTGAGCAAGAGAGGTTTGCCACATTGTCTATAAGTTGGCCCAAGATATTGTCCACAGACGATGTGGGATTTATTTTCAACACCCTCCCTCAAGTGCATGTCAGTAATTTTTTATGGTCATTGTCACGGGGTAAGTAATGTGGGCCCACATCAATCATGTGATAGGGATACCATGAAACCGGGGAGAGAGGAATAGAAGTGGAGACACTAATAAAGGAAAATAATTGTTATATTCCTTCAACCATGTACAACCCTATTTATAGGGATAGAAAACATATCAAAGAAGGTAAAATATATACAAGATCTCTAACTACGGAAATAATATATCTACTGTCTATAATAAACTGGTATAAATCAACCACTCAATATTCTGGAATCTTCAACAGAAATCTCTTCATATTTATCCAGTATTTAGTCAAATCTTTATTTTCTAGCCTATGTATTGGGATTTTCGCCTTTTGAAAACAATAACAAAACACAAAACAGAATTGAAAAGCTAGTTTTCCATTAAACTTCTAATAGTTGGTGCGAAAGTAGAAATCTGTCAACAGACTGTCCGAACCATGAGCACATCCTGTCTTCAAAAGGCATCTGGAACCCTTATATATGACTGGAATACCCCCATCTTAGTCTCATTACCAATTGCTCAGTCCCCAATCCTCCCCCCTCTATATTTTTTCATATTCTATCTTCCTTCTCTTCGGGTTAAGCAGCTGTTCTGTTTAACACTGAAAAAGAACTTTTCACATTTCGCTTTTTGGTTGTAATTATCATCTAATTTAATAGGTTGAAATTGACAATGTTGTTGCAAGAATTGAGAAAACCATTTCATGTAATAACAAGGGGTGAAACATGGGGATCTTACAAACATCTCCTTATTGAGGTACATCCTGAATTCATGTTAAACATTAGGCAACATAATTTATACTGGTGGTAGCCAAGTGATTATTATTGGGCTTCTTACCCTATGTAACCCATCATTCCATATCAAAGATCCAAATTCTGGAGCTGTTTGTCTAGATTTTGTAGTGAAAGTAATCTTGTAAGATAGTTTCTGAAGTCTGCTGTTGAAATTTAGTCTCGCAGGTTCAACCTTCAAAACTGCACCCTTGAGTGGTGAAATTACAGCATGGTAGCTTGAATTTGGAGGACCAACATTGGTGACTGTTCTGCGTAGGGTCACAGATGTGACGTTTGCTGTCTCCGGGAACACAACCGAGATGGCAGGGTAGTTCAAATCCCCAGGATTGCGAAGAGAGTGTCGGCAAGTTCTGTTGGAGAATTTCTCAAATACTACTAATTGGGAGGGTTCCAGACCTTGTGTACACAGGAAGTCAAAATAATCCTGTGCTCCAATGTCATAAATCAAGCCTGGGTCAAGAGCTTTCACTGGATTTACGTGTCCTGCACCATGGTCATATGGTGAGGAAGGTCTGGCTGTTGAGGCATCTATCAGAGGATTTTGGTTGTTGCCATGAATATAAGCTGTCGTCATCAATGCAGATTTAATTGCAGCTGGACTCCAATCTGGATGCTTGGACTTGAGCAGTGCTGCAATGCCACTAACATGTGGGCATGACATGGAAGTTCCAGACAATATATTGAACTTCGTTCTTCGATGGTCTGTAGGTAAACTCGATGGTCCCAAATCTCCAGTCCAAGCGGCAAGAATGTTCACTCCTGGTGCCACCAAATCAGGCTTCAGAATCTCTAGTGACAGGATATTAGGTCCTCTGGAGGAAAAAGCGGCCACCACTGGAGATGGCCTAATTCCTAGCTTGGTCCCAAGGAATGCTAAAGTTGCAGTAGCATTTCTACTTGTTGTAACATAATGCTTGATCGTTTTTCCTTCGGTTTCTCCAACTGCAATTGCCGGGAGAAGATGACAATCTGCTACCAGCTCCTCCCCATTGGCTGCAGTGTTTGACAAAATCATGCCTACTCCTCCAGCATTTTTCACCACCTGTCCCTTTTCAACTCGGGGACTAATTCCTCGATCGCATATCACAATTTTTCCTGCTGCAGAACGACCAAGGGTTCCTTCTAAGCACATTGAACTTGGTGTGGGAATGGTTGAGTTACTTCCATGATAGATTAAAGGGTACTGCTTTTTTGTGGAAAGGTTTATTCGGCCTTTGTATAGTGAAGCTCCAGTCAGATATTTGCCTGTCCCGAGCTTAATAGTAGCCGGGAAATCTCTATCCATTGTGCTGGCTCCAACTGTAGTGACCCACGGAGAAACATTCGTGAGGCTAATGGGATCTGGTCCACCATTTCCAGCCGAGCAAGAAACAAAAACTCCCTTCTCCATAGCCCCAAAAGCTGCAATGGACAAGCTGTCCCGATGATAAGATGAAACTCCACCACCTAAAGAAATGGACAAAACATTGACTCCATCAGCCACGGCTTGATCAACTGCAGAGAGAATGTCTGAGCTAAAACACCCTCCAACCCAGCAAACTTTATAAGCTGCAATCCTCGCTCCAGTGGCCATCCCTCGGGCTGTACCATAAGCATAACCCAAAAGGTTTGCACCAAGAACTGGAGCACCGGCAACCGTTGCTGCAGTATGAGTGCCATGGCCGTCTTGATCTCGAGGCGATTTATACTCTTCTTGTTCATTAATTTTGCCTGCAGCTGCCTCATACCCACGGTAAAACACTCTAGCTCCCACTATCTTTCTGTTACAGTGATGTTTAGTGAAACCGCGACCTACATCACACGTGCCTTTCCAGTGAGCAGGAACCTGTCTCATAGAGCTATCATTGAAGCTCGGGCTCTCGGGCCATATCCCGGTATCCAGCACGCCTACAATAACATCATGATCAGATATTTTGTGAGAATCGACATGCATTCCATCTTCCCGCTCGAGCCCAAGGAACTTAGGACTTCTTGTGGTGTGTAACTGGTATACAATCTCGGGGAAGACAGCCACCACACCGTTTTGTTCTTGCAGCATCTCAACTTCTTCTTCACTAAGTTGAGCAGCAACTCCGTGAAATGCAGTCTGGTAAGCGTAAAGCATCCTGTCATTATCTGTATCTTCTTCTTTTTCGGGTGTTGATGCTACTGATTTTATCATTGATGAGTACCATTGTTTATGGTCACTGAATTCTTCTGGTTTTGCCCACTTATCTACTTGTATTATGTATGTTTTCTTTGTTGATGGGTTGTTATTGGTACATGAAACTAGGGTGATGAAAAGAAAGGTGGACACAAGAACACACAATTTTCCTGAAATCCATACCATTTCTCCAGGCAGAGAGAAAAAAAAATAGGCAAAATTGGGTTGAAGAACTAGAGATTTGAAGTGAAAATATGAAAATGCAGAGAGACCTTTACTCAGTCATCTTGTGTAGGTTATAAATGTGGTGGTTGCTCCATGAATGCCATTTTGTATTGTATTTAGTACAATTGAATAGGGAGGGTCATTGCGCACAATTATTTAATGCTTTGTTTTAACTTTGGCTAAATTCCTTTAGGGGTTCTCAACCTTTCGTAAATGTGACATCAATGTATCCAACCTTTAGTTTGTGCCATCCTGTGTCCCCAACCTTCAACGGTGTCGAACTTGATGGAGAACGTCTAAATAGACGGTAAAAAGCCACACAATAGGCACGCGATAAATGTTTGAAGGGTATATTGTCCAAAATTAATCTCCCTCCACTTTCAATACTACTTTTTCATGACTTGTTACTTTAAAACAACGAGTATTTAAAGTGAAGGGAGATTATCTTTTGACAATTATACTAATCAATCATTTATTAGGTGCCTATCGCGTGACTTCTTACAGTCTATTTAGATGTTTTTTTGTTGATTGGGACACCGTCTGCACATTATTAAAAGGTTGGGAACAAGTGGTGGCACAAACTAAAGATTAGAGACATAGATGTCACACTTGGAAAAGACTGAACGCTGGAGGAATTTATCCTTTCATTCTTGGACCAGTTTACTTTAATTCCAGCCCACTTTACTACTTAATGCTAAGTTGCAATCTGGTGACACACTGCCACCAAATGCAAAGTAATAGTGAGTGATGTTCAATCGGTGACACATTGAACAATAATTACAGCAAAAGATTCCAAACAAAGCTGTGCTGGGCTCTTCAATTTTTGTGCCTACCCCAATAAAAAAGGTGGTTCAAAGCTGTCAAACGGTAGAAATTATTTAATGTTGATCTCATCCTCAAGTGAAGCCAGCACACTGAGATTCAAGCTTTAGCTTAATTGGTTAGGATAATTCAAATTTTATTCTATCATAGAGATGTGGGACAACACACTGAGAAACTCAATAATTTCGGCAAGGAGGGGTTCTGCTAACCAATGTGGATGCAATTTCTAGGTGCAAGGGGTTGTTGAAAAATACCTGATCTCTCGTAAAATTATAAGATCATGTATAAAGATCAACGTATGATCGAAAGACCATTGAGTGGACTGAGGCAAAGTCGTAAGACTATCCAAGGGGACCGAGGCAAAGTATTTAATTCGATCTAATTAAATGATCCTGCTGGTGAGATGGGCTTCCATTCTGTATGAAGCTATTCCACCAGCTGAAAAAATTACCATAAATGTTTGAGGTTATTGAGACAGTTCATGTGGTCCCTAACTATTCACAAGATGCCTGCTAAGGAAAAAAATCCGATAATGTAATTTTACGGTTTTGTGGTTTTGGGGAAGGAAAGATATTCCAAATAGGATTATTTTAAAAACACTTTTTTCAATCAATTGTTCGATTTTTGACACATAAAAAGTGTCAACCAAAGTGTACATATTTGAGTGTACAAGCAGGCTCATTCCTTCTTTTATGTACATATTGATTTACTTCTAGGTCATCGATTGGCCATGGTTAGTGTCATCGATTCCTTAAAAAGGATGGATTGGTTCGAAGATCGGCATATTTTAACTGAATAAATGTGTCTTTGAAAATTTCTCTTTATAAACTAATGAGTACTTGGTTACTATGTTATTCCATTATTGGTCATGCTTTTCTTGTAAAGTGGCAAAAGCAGCACGCTTAACTCTTCTAGAACCTTAAATCTCACTAGTTGCTCTTTCACACTACGTCTACTATTGGGATTTACATGCATGTCCCGCATAAGCAGATCGACATCTTAGATAGTTTGTTCCGGCTTAGAAAGTAAACAGAACGAAGTGAAGGAGCAAAGATTTTTTTTTATTTTTTTTTTCTCCCTTGGTGAACGAACTCAAACAAAACAAAATTCATGGTCGAAAGGTGACAAGAGGTCACATCTTTTTGTAAATCGAAAATAGTAGAAGCCCAAGGGTACGTATTGTCATATGTAAATGGACATATTGAAACGAGGGGATGGTTGTAATCATGACTTGAAAGAAAGTTTGCTGGGGTAAATGTATATTTCTCACCTAATTAACCTAAAGTAATTAATGCAATTATGGTGATAGCACCAATTTAAATTACCCATGACCATATTTGATAAATTCAATTAAATGAATTATCTGATATTATATTTAAGTAAATTTATTATTTCATGTCATGTGGTTATCACATGGTGATATGGAGTGGTGTTTGGCACCGGTGATACTGAGTAACATTACTCATTTAAGAAATGCCGGCCTCTCAATCTTTACGTCTCGCTCACTGTCTTCTTTTACATTGAGTTGAAGGTTGTTCAACGCCTCCATAACTTGTAATAAATACCAGCATTTAAAGCCACAGAGCAATGGGCTTCGTGTGAGATAGCAAAACCGCCTTCCATCTTGGTTGATATTTACAAAAGAATAATGCTAAGTGTACACAATTTTTTACACTTCTCTCACATAGATGGGGGCCCACACATAATAAAATATTCGTGGACCCCCCCTCCATGTGAGAGAGGTGTAAAAGATTGTGTAAAAGTGTGTGTGTACATGTAGCATTACCCTTAACAAAATGCTATGTGGATCTCATTCAAAATGACATTTGATTGTCATTTAATTGACATCTAAACTTAATAAACAAAATGTTATATAATATAACTGGTTCTAAGCATGGATTTAGATTGTAATTAATTGATAGGTAATCTTAAATTAAACTTATCAATTCACTTAATTGCCACTGGCACTTTAACACCAGTTGTGCTCTCTAGCATTACTCAACAAAATATGATGCAACACAATCGGTGTTATGCATCGGTCTAGGTGGTGTACATGTTGGGAAGTGATTATAACATTATCGGTCAAGGACACATTTTATCTGCATATTTTGTATGACTTATAATTATTACTTATTATCCACATATTCTGTAAAACTCGGAACTTATAATCTTTTAAATTTTAAATAATCACTTCTCTAACATGCACTCGGATAACCTTCAATTACTTTCACTTAATTGTCACATAAGTTGACATTAGTTGTTGTTCTATGTAGCATTGCTCAGTAAACGAAATGTTTTGTAGAACAAAGGGTGATAAGCAACCTATATGGCAATTAATTGATAAATCGTCTTAAATAGGACATAAATATTTTCCTATATTTAGCCCTCGTTTGATCCCAATTTGGGAGGTAAAATGTATTATGGATTAGTAATTTTTTTGGAGAATATGTGGTTAAAAAGTAAGGCAAAATTTTTGGATTACGTGTATAATTATTTTATAAAAGAATGTGTGGTTGAAAATGAGTTTTGAAAAAATTCGTTCTTGAAAAAATGGGGCTCAAACAGATATTTAAAATAATTTATCAATCCATTTCACTTAATTAACACGTGGACGGATGCTTAGAACCAATTAGACTAGTAGAATTCCTCAAACATTTTATTTGGTCATCAAAATTAATAGAGTAGGTACGTCATAATTAATCATAAATCCATTGCATGTTATGAAAATCAAAGTTATTTATGTTAAGATTATTATACAAATAATCAATGTATTAAAATGCATCACGATTTCATTAGATAATGAATTAGGAGAATCATTGCCATCTAAATCGATAATTATCTTTACTAATGATGAATATCATTATTTGATAAGAGCAATCTATGGTAATTAATTTATGTTTTTTGATAATCTTCGAGGAATGAAATGAAAGATTACATGAATAGCCATTTTTAATATTAAAAATAATTGCCACAACTTCACTAAACAATAAATCAAGGAATAATTGTCACAACTCCATGGATAATGAATCAAGGAGCAACGATCACCTAAACTGGTGATAATATCTACTAATGATGAATAGCATTACTCGATAAGAATAATAAATGATTAAATTTTGATTATGATCATTTTTAGGAATAAAATGAAAGATAACGTGAATAGTCTTTTTTCATATATGCTAATAATCGCCACACATCTATTGAACAATGAATTAGGTGATTCACAAGGTGTCCAAATATTTGCTTATGTGACGTATGTCAATCTTTGGACACCTAACTTTAGTAAAACTGCAACTTTGGATTAGATGGATAATTGCACATTGCATGTGTGCTGTTGTTGAAACAATTACATTTCATCCCATATCAAAATGGTAGTCGAAATTTGAAGTTTTTAAAAATAATGCAGGTTTCAGCTTCGAGCGACGTTGTGTATCAAGTGGGGGATCGAGTTACAAAAAGTGTTAGATATTTTTTCATAATTTTTTTTATTTTTTTATTGTTGCTATGCAAATGGTTTGCCGTGTATGTGTTGAATAGTTGTGTCTGTTGGAAGTTAATGGTTTTTCTCTAACAGACATACACATTCATTCCAATGGACATTTTTCTCCTTAAATATCAAGTATGTTGCACATTTGCAGATACAACATAAATATTTATTCTACTTCTTCTTTTATTCCATTGGCATCATCAGTTCTCTCATATAGTGTTCTCTTGCATTGATCAAATCGTCACAATTTGAATCAAACACCATCATTATATACTAAAAGGGATTTTCATTTAAACCCGATTGTGATATCTTTGGATAGGAGAGAAAGATCTCTTAAAAGATAGTGATTTATGTGTCTTGGAGTTTATTCAAATTCTCATATTTCCTATAATTTTCTTAGATTCCTACAAAAAATACAGCCGACATGGAGAAAAAAAACTTGCACATGCAACCGATTTCAAGTGGGCATACTTCCGTGTCAGCATGCTTTAGCAATCACTTGTAAGAAAGAACTAGAGACGTACAATTATTGTTCAGGCCACCAAATGAAAGAACTATATTTGGCCATGTGCCAAGGGACCATCAAGCCACTCAGTGATCAAGAACATTGGACATTGCCCGATAACATTGGAAGGAAAGAAACACTTCCTGCAGTTAAAAAAAATAAGACAATTGGGGAGGTCGAAGGATACTAGGTATCATTCAAAGCAAGAAGGAACTCAAAAACAAAGTGCGGCATCTATGGAGGTAAGGGACATGATCGTGGTTCGTAGGACATGCAAGCAACACTAGCCGATGAAACAATCAGTTAAGTGGAAGCGGAAAATTTAACTGAAGTATCTCGCGGCAAAATAAAAGTACAACCTAAATGACACTAATGAGGCCTAGATGAATAATGTAAAATGAAACACATGCAAGTCAACTTATTGAGTCATTTCATTGGACAGTATCACTAGAGTTGTCAATTGAGCAGGCGCGATCTGTGTCATTTTCTTGTTCAACTGGATAATCTTGATTTCATTCAACAATTGTATAATTAACTATAATTATACGTTGACTGATATCTCCATGAGAAAGGGAGATGCATTCTCTCCATTTCTGTAAAACATATATTTGATACACAAAAAACATCATGTTTTACAATTCATCTTACTCAGTAGTAGTGCCATAGAGTCTATACACAAAAAAGAGATGCAGAAGCCTTGACCAAATTTCAGCATCCGAATCTGTGAACAGCGCGAAGATGGAGGCCCCCATTGATCTGCAGTGTTAGCATTGTCCTGTATTTGACAGCTTTCTTTTCATCATTCAACTTAAACGAGAAGACACCAAGCAGCACAGCAGCATAAATTTTCATCTGCCAGTAGGCAAACTCTTTTCCAAGACAGATTCTTGGTCCTGCCTGCTTACACAAATTACATTCACTACATAAGTATGATGTTCCACTCTTTTAAGTGTAGTCATTCAAGAATGCAATTATATTCATGCATGCTTGAGAAAGATTAAATTTGAAGACAATGTACAAGAAGAGAAATAAAATTTAGCACTGGATATGCCACCACAATAGATAGTGATTGTGAACTTTTTTTTGTTCCTACCTGAAAAAAAGTATGAGGTTTTTGGCAATGTCGTCTTCTTGTTGGTCATTATTTGGGGATTTTTTTTTTTTTTTTCAATTCTATACTAGAGCTTTATGTCAGCATAATTTGTGTAGAAAAATGTGTACTCATCCCAACAGATGTGAGACAACAGAAGATGTTGGGGGTGCTTGTTGGAGACTAAATTTTAATAAATAATGTGTCTCTAACAGTTTAAGCTTTTATACGGATTAGTTCAATATGATATTAGAGTAGGCACACGTCTTAAATTTAAGTCTCGCTACACCTATTTATTAGAAATGTATGTGTAGGAATTTGATAAATAATGTGTCTCTTAACAGTTTTTTTTTTTTTTTTTTTGTGATAACCGTGGATGTCCAGGTCAATTTGCGCGCACCTCGACTAATTCCACGGAACCCTAAAGTTTACGGTCGGGTATTCACCTCAATGGCTTTGAGGGAACTCGAACATAAAAATAACAAAAACTAAGCTTACTTGGAAGGCTGTGAACTTAAAAGAGCTTTCTTTCTGGAAGACGCTGTTTTCATCTAATCATCTCTGGAGTCGAAACTCCTCTGCATCCTCGCCCCAAGTATAACCAAGATGGAAATAAGCCAAAAGAGTTTGAATTCTGGGAATTAACTCGCCGTTTTCGTATTAAAGCAACGTGCAATATTGAGCTTAACAGTAGTAATTGACAGAGAGTGAGAAAGGTAGTAGTAGTACCTTGCCATGGTTTACAAAATTTGTTTTGAGTACATATTCAACTACTGCAGGGTCTGCAGTGTAGACTTCACTGTTGTTAAGGGAAAGCAATCTGAAAGTCATATTTTTTTGCGTCAATTCAGCCCTTGTTTGATCTACATTATTATCTCATTAAAATGAAAAATATAACCGTTATCCATCACATCAACATTTAAATTCAAATTTTCTATCTCTTATGTGAGCCCCAATAACAGTTATATTTTTCATTCTCATTCTACCATAATATTTTCTACAGTAAATTAATTCTCATTTTTAACCACACATTCTTCAATAAAATAATATTTTCCATCACATCAATACTTTTTTCTTCTTTTTCAACCACACATTTCTCATCATATCACTACTCAAAAATCAATTATTCCCCCAAAAATTCTTACCAAACACACTCTTAAATTCAAATTTTCTATCTCTTTTGTGGGCCCCAATAACGGCTATATTTTTCATTCTCATTCTACAATAATTTGGTTCAAACAGGGCCTCAGTCATGTAATCGTGCAACCTACGGAAATTAAGCAGCTGATGCAACATTGTTCTAGCAATTGGATGGTATTTTTTCTTCTCCTTCCTTGATGATCCTAGGATCTTCTTGACTGTACATATTGCCAGAATTGCAGCAAAAATTGAGATCAAGGAGTTATTCAGGGTGTTCGTGTCCATGGCAGTCCTTTCTTTGTATTGTAGTAATAAGTTTCATAGATATATAGAGTCCACTGTCCAGCAGTTGGAGAGTAAAAACTTGCGTGTGGGGAATAATTGTGAACTGTTGACTCACAAAGTCCACTAGGTGCTCAATGGATTTCGTTGTTCCTTCAATCTTTTCTCCAAAGTCCAACCTGTGGTCCTGTAGTGAGAAAATTGCATTTTTGGTCCTTAACATAAAGTCTTTGTAAGTTTGGTGCCTAATTTTTAAGGCGAAACATTTTGCTATTCAAGCTTTCTTTAACATTATTGACTATTGGTCTCTGTGGTTTTGTTTTCTTTATAATGTTATATGCAAAGCATTTGAGGGTAATAGCAACTAGTAAAATAAAAGAAAAAACATATGTATCTTCTTCTCCACTTTATCCCCAACACTCGTCCCCCAATCCTTTTTCCAACCATTCTCAACCCCACAACTGCATCGCATGCACCCCAATCCATGACAACTTTCTTGCACCATCATGCAACCCAGCCCCTGACACTCGTCCCCTTGGCCTTCCAGTCCGTTTCTTTTTCTATTTATTCCACTATTTTCTCATTTTAGTTTTGTTGCTTCAATTTGAAATTGAGGCACGTTCCTAGAAGGACTTCATGACAATTTATTGAATTTTTTGTGATTTTCATCTATGGGACTAATTGTGCAACTTTAAGCAAAGATTGAGGACTAAATTGCTTCTTCTTTTAAAGAATACAGACCAATTTGCTACGTTAATAATAAGTTTGAGAGAAGTGATACAATTATCTCATTAGACCGTTTCCAACATTTTAACAAACATCTGAAGGAATTATAAAATAAAGAGTCAATTTTTTACGCGACCCAAATTACTCTCTCTATATTCATTCATTATTTTGCTTTTTCTCATATGCAATTATTATTCATCATTTTCCCTCTTTTTGGATTTTATTACTTCCTTCTTTTTTATTTTATTACTTTCCTCTTTTTTATTTTGTAAAAATCAAAGCAAGAAATAAATAAATAAATAAATTGCGTTGTTCAATGTTAAACGTGACTCGGTGTTATGAATCTAGCATGTATATGCCTATACATAACCCTGATGAGAAGGCATTTGATACTGAAGGAAACGATAAAATTTTAAAAACCAATAAATTTTGAGAAACTTGTAAACTTTGTTTTTAGAAGCATGTTGAAGTTGAAGAACAATTGCTGACATCAAACGCGCGGTTAATTTGACAGATCTTCGAGCCCGGAAAACACCATTTTCGAGCCATATTTCCAGTCAGAATTCCGCAGAATACCCTCCCCAAATGCGCGTTGCCCTTCCCATTGCAAAGCATGTGTAGTTCACACCGTCTCTTTTCTCTATTCTGTAACCATGCTCTAAAATGCTGTCTATGTTTTAACTCTTGCAATCCTGCAGTTTCAAATGAATGAGCTCCTGAGCAAATCCTCCTCATATATTAAAAATTGACTTATCAACGGCTGCTTTCATCAATCAGTGTACAATTGTCAAAGGCTATCAATTACACAGATTAACCATGAATTGAGGAAAACTTCCGTTATAACTTATCTTCATCCCATCATCAAATTCATTATCCACCGATTATGGGATGAAAATATTCGAATTGGTTTCTCTTCATCTCATGACTTAATACCACTGATACACTCTGTATGGCCTCCCTCATCAGGACATCGGGTGATCCTTTCACGAAGAATTCATGGACAATTCCATCAACTTCAATCATGCTGCATCCCGGAACCGATTTCCTAAACTCTGTATCTTTCATCAAAGCTCTCATTCTCTTCAGGTCATCAAATCTACAAGCTTTGGCATACACTTCTCACAAATTGTAATAAAAAGCATGGTTTTGAGGTTCCAAACCAATCAGGTTTTGAGCAATCTTTTCTCCTAACTCGACCTTTTCTTTGCAATTGACATCCTCCAAGTAGTGCACCTCAAACGAAAACATTTGGCTCCATGGGCATACCTCTGATAAGCTCTTCAGCCTCAACAAACAGTCTACCTCGGGCTAGAGCTAGAATATCAATCATTCAAGCATAATGTTGAACTGGCAGCTCAATACTCAAACATGCCTTATCCTTTCAAAACACGAGCGACCTTTCTCCACCAAGCCCGAGTGAGTACAGGTAGACAATAACCCAACAAACGTTACAGAATTAGGCCTTACACCAACTGTTTCCATATTTTCAAAGGCCTTAAAAGCTTCATTCCCATGCCCATGAAGTGCAAATGCTGAAAGCATAGATGTCCATTCCATAACATCCTTCTTAGGCATCCCATTGAAAGCCTCAAATGCTCTTTCAACACGCCTGCACTTCCTTCGTATGTCCACCAAAACCGTTCCAATCACCATGTCACATTCCATCTGGCTTCTCTTCAAGTAACTATGCAACCACCTTCCATGACCAGTTTATTCACATCCAACTAGACAAGATGCCAGCCTTTAACTACAAATTTGGCAAGGAGGACTTTGTCAGTAGCTAACTTGGCAACAGGAGAAAAGATTCAATAAAGTCCAGTCCTTCATGTTGAGTGTAGCCTTTAGCCACTAAACGAGCTTTGTACCTATCTATGCTGCCATCAGATCTAAATTTAATCTTGTACACCAATTTACAACCTCTGGAATGGTTGCCCTTTAGAAGGGTAGTAATTGACCAGGTTTGATTGGCTTCCATGGCTGCTAAGTTTTGGCTCTTAGATGGAATTTGGTTCTATGTGAAGGTAAAGTAGAAGCAAAACAAAGGCTGCCAAAGGTTCTCAAGTAATTATAATCAAATGGAGAATTGTAAAGAGAAGAGAAAGGTGTTCTATTTTGTATAACTGGTGAAGGTGTTCAGCTGATAAAAAATACAGCTGTGAGTATACACTCTCCCCAGAATTTGATGGAAACTTGGGATTGAAAGAATAAAGCACAAGCCACATTAAGGAGATGACGGTGTTTTCGTTCCACCACAAAGTTCTGTTCAGGCCTTTCCACACAAGAGAATTAATGTATAATCCCTTTAGCATTAAACAGATCTGTGAACTGAAGTTCTTGAGTATTATCTGATCTGAATCTTTTAACCACTTTATGAAACTGAGTTTCAATTAATGTAAGAAATCTGGAAACAATGAATTTTGTATCAGACTTATTTCATTAGGTATACCTATGTGAACCTTGTGTAATCATCAACCAATGTTAAAAAGTATCTATAACCAGCATGTGTAGGGACATTATAGGGACAACAAATCACAGTGAACTAGATCAAATGAAGCCTGAGTTAAAAAATTGCTTGATACAAATGAAAGCCTCCTTTGTTTAGCTAAGGGACATATGGAACATGGATCAGATATGGCATTCCTTTCTACATTACAATCAATTCTCAATTGGTCTTTCAACAAACTTAACCTCTTGAAAGATAAATGGCCTAGTCTATGATGTCAAGTACGACTAGTAACATTGCTATTCATTGAATGAAAAGGATTACAATTATTTCCAGAAACATTACATTTATTTGATACTAGATCAAGTAAACTTGCATCAAGAACATAAAGATCTTCAATCCTCTCACCCCCATCAGTCATCTTCAAAGTGTGCAGGTCCTGAATCACACATGAATCAGGGAGAAATCTGATGCTTAGGGAAGACTTTCTGGTTAAGGAACTAACTGATAGCAAGTTGAATTTGATGAGGTACAAACGGAACATCTTCAAGCATACATTTCCAATAAATTGAACGTGGATTTGTTCATGGTTAGGCTGTGACAAATGCATTTTGAATCGGTTTCATGGTGTTAAAGTTGGAAAGATTTGAGCAGATTGACTTGTAGCACCAGAGTCCACCACCCAACATTTAGATGAATTGAAGTTGGGATTAACATATATGGCAAGACAAGTACCTGATAGGTGACCAGAGTCGGCGTCTGGCCCTGTATCTGCTTTAGCCGTGGTGAGATGAGTGCTTAACATACTCATCAGTTGTTGATACTAAACAGGATTCAATGTTTGCATAAAATACCCAATATTGCTATGCTTTTGTTTGTATCCTTGAGGAAATCTATGTAACTTGTAACACTTGTCCACCGCATGACCAGTATAATCACAGTAGGTACAAATAGGTCTGTCCTTCTGAGATTTGCTATATGATTTACCTGCAACTGGCTTCCTAGTCTCATTCTTAACGTAAAATGCCATTGAATCATTAACTCCAGATGTATCAACATTTAAGTTAAATTTCCTTTAATTTTCTTCCTGTGCAACCAGTGCAAACACTTTGTTAAAGGGAGGAATAAGGTCCAGCAATAGCAGCTGACCCCTTACTTGAGCGAATGATTCATGTAAACCTATCACGAACGACATAACATACTCCATTTGGTGATGTACAACCAATTTCTTACTTCCTCCACATGTACACTTTCCACATGAACATATGGGCATATAGTTAATAAACTCTTCCCGTATGGTTTTCAGCTTAGTGAAGTAAACACCAACAGATATTTGCCCCTGCATAAGGTTAATCAACTCACGTCTTAATTGAAATATACGTGGACCATTTTTCTGCTGATATCTCTCCCTGAGGTCTATCCAGATATCATGTGCAGAATCAGAATACATCACGCTTGCAGATATTTCTTTAGAAACTGAATTGAGGATCCATTAAATCATCATATTGTTGTTCCATCAATGAATCCTAACTTGTTTTTCACTGACAAATTATCAACATAACACAGCTCCAGGAGGCATAATTTTCTCCTGTCAAAGGTTGTGAAACCAGCACAAGTCCTGGGCTGTCTGAATGGTGGAGAAAGTATGGATTTGATCCATTATCAACGACTGAATTGCTCGTTGAAGATGAGGAATTATGGACTGATCGGTTCGGGGCATCAGTGGCCATCGTTAATCATTGTCCTCAGATCAAATTGCAATGATCATTGAGGCTAATAAAATCGCGACATTAAATGTTCTGATATCATATTGAAGAATAGTATGGAGAAGAAGAAAGAGGAAATTTCTTATTCAATCATTGAAAGATATATCATGGTGGTATATATAAATACATATGGACTAACTACCATCTATCAACTGTAATTGCTAGCTGTACTTTGGCTCCAACTTGGACTTGAGCTTGGTACAATCTTGGTACAACTTGAGCTTGAGGTCTATTAACCCATTAAGCCATCAACCCCGCCTTGCACATTCTTTTAACACAAAAGGTCCTTTATCATCGAACTTGCTCTGATCATGGCACTTTATACAAAAAGACTTGGCTCGGCAATGCATCTGAATATTTTCTTCGCATACTAGAGACTTTCTGATGATTCGTGGACTGCACAGAGGAAGAGGAGGAGGCGAGAGATGAGAAAATAAGATCATTTAATGATAAATTTGTGGATGTAATAATGTGGATTCGATCATTCTTGGTTTGAATTGGTTTATTGGCGGGTGTTCTCACTTCTGGGTCTGCCACATTTTCCAAATAAAAAAATTGTCAATTGGTTGCTTCGATCTGAAAAGTGAAATTGTTTTAGTTCAATTTGTAATATTTTTCTTTCCGTTTTAAATGAATTGGCTCGAAAATAAACTGCTAATCCATCCAAATCAAATCATATTCGTTCCTACCATTTATTTATTTACTATCAGAAAGTGTTTTGCTGGTCAAAATTAAATGAGTTTATAATGAGAGTTTTATCTTATGTTCCAACAAAATAATTACTTTTACACTTGTAAGATAGAAAAATTACATTTCTAATTGTCTAAAAAACAAGCTTGCTCATTTACATCAAACCATAGTACCATACTCAAAAAAGATAATTAGCAGCCTCACCAAAATAAAAGCCAATGGAATACGGTTTGTTATTACAATAATAATTTGGTCATCCATCAAAAGTAAACCGATAACATAAAAATGAATTGACGTTCAATAACACATTAAGCTGTGATTACAACATCAAAAGCTTTAAACAAAACAAAAAAATAATACATTACTTAACCTAAATACTTTCTTGGTCGTCACAAAATTAATATGCATGTTTCAATTCAACATGCAAGTTAACATGGGTCAAGGGTTTTTCACCAATTGCGACCTCTTCCTCTAGGAGCTCCGGAAAATCGATCATTTCGCCTATCAGAAAACCCACCTCTGCCTCCTCTGCCTCCACCGAACCTACCATCTCTCCTATCAGAAAAGCCACCACGTCCACCTCCAAATCGTCCACCTCTTGACTCTCTCTCTTGCAAAGGCGGTAATGTTTTCACTACCTCTAAGCTTATGCCAGCAGCATTTTCCTGGCCTGCAAGTCCACGAAATGGATCATTCATTGAATCACGTGCAAGCCTAGGTTGCTTAGAATTGTTTGAAAAGTTAACAAATTAAATAGTAAATTTGTAATGCTCGAAAATTCATCAATTGGACAGCACACATGATGTTCTCTCCAAGTTCCACCAGAACTAACCTGTAAGGAATGTGTCCAAGTCTTCAGTGGTGACATCAAAAACTGCGCCCTTTCCATCAGCTGTTAAAGCAAGACCCTTAATGGACTCGACCTTCTCTTCAGGTAAAAACCTCCGCAAAATCCCATAAGCAAAGCTGGAACATCACGGTAAAGAAATAAATAAGATTTTGACATTGATTCAATGCATAATCCCTTTCCTTGTCCATCATTTCCGGTGCAAGATGTGAAAGAGAAACATGTTGGAATAGACTAATATGTTGAACTCAACCCATATTGGGTTCACATGATGGACAATGATAAATAACATCGTAATGCATCCACGTGAAGACCTTTTTCAATATGTTGAAACACTAGGAGCATGTTTGGGTGGCTTACTTTAATATCTTATGTAATCAGCCACCCCAAACATGCTCCTCTAAGTCAAATGGATATATAGAAGAGTTCTGAGCACTCACGATGGTGTGTAGATGGGCTTTTCGCACTGAAGGAGAACTGTAACAGAGTTTTCCATTGAACTGAGAAGTGATCGACTCCTTATTTCACTATAGCCCTGCATAACAAATGGTGAACCTGACAAGTCAATTATAGAACCAAAAGGTGGTTCACCACCAAAACAGACACAAGGTAATAGAACCTACAGCAGCCTTAGCAAGTGCTTTTGCAAGTAGTTCAGTTGGTGATAAAGTAGATGTGTTCAGGAGTTCTTCAGCAGCAGCCTTGAAGACCGGAATGACACTACAAAATTTCAAGTATATATGAATGTCTGTCCTGAGTTGCAACACACACTAGTAACTAAGGTAAACGTCAAAAGGAAGTTACCTATCAGAGATCTCATTAATTTTTTCAGCTGCTTCTGCTCCAGCAGCTTTAGCTATATCAGCAGGCTGTGGAGCAGATATGTGCTCAAACTTCATGCCAGATTCTCTTTCTATCCGAGAAAAATTTGACTTTCTTGGATCATAAAGCATTACAGCAACACCAGTTTTCCCTGGAGCAAGTGGCAAGATGCTGTCTTAAAAACAATGAAACTCCAACCATTTTAAGGATCATATTCAAGAAACCGTATTTTATCCCCAACTCACCCGCTCTCCCAGTTCGTCCAGACCGATGTATATATGCCTCTACATCACGTGGTGGCTCGCACTACAGAGTAATACACATATTTAGTTCACACATTTAAGCAAGTTACACCATGCATGCTACCAGCATGATAAGAAAGCCCATAAATTTAGTAATATGGAACAAACCTGAATAATCAACTGGACATCATCAATATCCAATCCACGTGCTGCCACATTTGTGGCCACAAGTGTTAAAAATTTTCCTGACCTGAATCCAGCAAGTGTTACCTGACAACATCGTAGCAAAATCTTTTAACATTAACAAATGATCATCGAGACGAGATTTAAGGATTTAATTTGTTAAGATTTGTCTACGTTGAAATCATATAAGAGAAATAATGTTCAACTCGATCACTAGAAACTTATCATTTGACCAAGCAATATATGTCAACTCGTATTAACTTTTAATGTTTAAGAGGTAACTGATTCCACTGGCAATTTTTCTTTCTTAGAGACGTGTCTATAAATTGACACAAAAAACAAGTAACACTTTTCAACATAAGAAAATATAAGAAATTTTTACCTCACGCGTAGCCTGTTGTATGTCCCCATGCAAAGCCCGTGCTCCGGGCAACACTCCAGCAAGTGTAGAAGCGGAATCCTTTGTCTCAGTGAAAATAATAGAGCGGCCACCACTGCATACAATATTCCATGCAAACAAGAATTGGATTGTTAAATGAATCAAATAACATGTCGGGAAATTATAACCTGTTATTAGTAGGGTTATATGCAACCGACCTACTATAGCAGCGAATGATGTCGGGAATAAGTTGAGATCTGGCAGCAGTGGAGCAAGGAAGAACAATATGCCTCACACTGGTACTAGCCTTCATTTTCTCATTGCCAACAAGATCAGCAGTTTTCTTATCCCTTTTCAGAAACCTAGACGCAATCTGGAAAATTTGCAATATTGTCAAAAGCAATAGGGATCTAGAGCAGAATATTAAACAAAAAAGAAAGACATAGCACATTCAGGGGTTGGGTGGAGAAAACACGTACATTCTTCACCCATTCTGGCAAAGTGGCACTAAAGAGAAGTGTTTGAACTTTGCTCGCATCCTCTACCTTGCCTTCACAATTTAAAAATGGAAAATTCAGTGACTATAGTAACTACGTAAAAATATTTGAAGTTATAATATAAACAATGCACTGCAAGTGCAAGGCACCACCCGATAACAAACATAAAAATTCATCACTAATACAGCACCAAGCAATTCATCACCAGCGACTCCATTACAAAATCGTGAAGACAAACCTAGAATTAGTTCAACATCTTCAACAAAACCCATCCTCAACATCTCATCAGCCTCATCAAGTACACGGAACTTCAGTGAGCTAAAGTCAATATTCCCCCTCTCTATGTGATCCTGCACCATGATCTCCAAAAAATCAACAACAAATCATTTTAACAAGAAAAAAACAGTATATGACAAAATTTTGGTTTATTTAGCACGAATTATATTACAGAAAGCATAACCTTAATGCGGCCAGGAGTGCCAATTACTACGTCAACACCCCTTTTCAATTGAACATGCTGCGGCTGATAAGGAGACCCCCCGTATAGGCAACACGATGTCAACCCCAATGCTCCACCATAGAATTCAAAGTCAGAAAACACCTATAATAATAAACAAGGCAGATAGAGAATGAAACAAATAAAAAGATGAAAAGTTGACAAAAACACCATCTAAGGTAAAAAAAAAATCCTAGATGGTGATACTGTTGACCGAAAAATACCTGAGTGGCCAATTCTCTAGTGGGTAAAAGCACAAGAACACTGGGTGTCCTCCCATATCCTGTCTTTCTTGAAGCTTTTGTGGGTCCATTAGTCAACGACTCCAATATGGGTAACACAAAGGCCAATGTTTTTCCCTGTTGAAGATCAAATACCAAGAAAATAAAAAAGTTAACATAATAACATTGGGTACACTCACATAGCAAATTTTTAAGATTGACGAATTTCAAAATATCACATATTGTTTTAACATGCGAAATGTTCTCCAACTTTGTTTGGTGAAAAGGAGGCAGATGAACCCAATTTTACTATTACTAAAACCATGACAACTTAAAAGTATGATTCCAAATGCAAAAAATAATAAAGATTCAAGCAAACATTCAAAAAGAATAATCACAATAAGAATGTTTGTAAACCTTAAATTACTACCTCCAGTTGCAAAAACAAACTATGGAAATCCCAAGAAAATCATGATAGAGCATTTGGGCATCATAACCAAAAAAAATGAAAGATGTTTTCAGTTACTTCCATTTTTAGAGTCACCATAAAAGACACAACGTCAGCTTATAAAAAGAATATTCCATAACCTGGGGTTTTGAAGATTTTATTTTCTGGAGAAGCAAAAATCCAAGGGTTTGTAGAACCACAATTCCATAGAATTTCAGAACATTCTGGTACACAACAATATGCATTATTGAAACTTACAAAAAGGAAAACCAATTTCACCCAAATTCCACTCATTAGACTTGACCATTGGAACAAAGGTATATCCAAGAGGTACTTACATACTATGATAATAATCAGCTCAGAAAGCTAGCAATCAGTAAAATATTCAATGATTTTGGCCATCATAATAGAATGACAACTAATCTCACTCAATTTTTTTCATATTATTACATGTCTATAGTCGTGAAAAAAAGAATTGTATGACCTAAATTCATCGAAAATTAAGCTCAACAGCCTCAAATAATAAACTCAAAAACATTGAATAACGATAAATAACATTTTAAAAAAACCCTTACCTGACCAGTACGAGCCCTACCAACCAAATCCACCCCATCAAGGACGGTATCAAAAGTCATGGCCTGTATTGGGAACAGAGATTCGATCCCCTTAGCCTTCAAGGCCTCCCTCAACGGCTTTGATATCCGGAAATTCGAGACGGCATTCGGATTCTCTTCCTCCTCGTTTTTGTTTTCCTCATCACCAAGCTTCATCTTTTTCTTATTCATATTCATCGGCTCGCCCATCTCCGAGCTAGTCTCGCTCCTCTCCTCTTCCACATTGTCAATCTCCGTATCCTTTCGCTTCCTCTTTTCTTTTTTCTTAATATTCGAATCATCAGAGGGTATTTTTGTCTTCTTCTCTTTTTTGCTCTTTTGCTCAATAAATTCCTCAATCTCCGGACCGTCAATGGAAACCTTCTTCACTTTCTTCTTCTTGTCCGAGGATGGAGACTTTGATACACTACCAGAAGCCATAACGATATATAGGTTTGTATGTATCTATATGCGTGTATATGAAGTATATATATGTATACACGTGTATGTATAGAGAGAGAGCTGTGTTCTGCAGCTGCGGAGAAGATTGTTGCAAGGAGGTGCAGAAGCAGCAGACAAGAAAGAAAAAGGAGGAGGTTTAGGGTTTGCGAATTTATAGGCTACGGCTGTGGAGTTAATTGGGACCGTTGGATTGTATTTCGAGTATCAGATTCGTGTAAAACCGGTATCGAAAGGAGAAAGATTGGGCCACGACAGATGGACTATTATTCGTCGGAAGAGGCCTTGTTATCTTGGGCCAAAACTCAAAAATAGCACCAATATGTTGACAAGAAACCACGTGTAGTCTTTTTGTACTTTCCAATTTTAAAATTAAGATAAAATAATTTTCAATGCTCAATTATCATTAATGTTGACAACGTTGGATTTTTTTTCATTCTAAAATACTTCCTGCAACCGAAATAAAAGCAGAAATTACAGCAATAAACACAAGTAACATCGCCACACATTGAGATTTCGAGACTACTATTTAATTGAACTTTTTTACATTTTTAAAGAAACATTCAAAATTAAGGTTAATTTATTTGGATTGTACTACATGTACATAATAATTTACATAATGATTTATCAACAGATAATGTGCCGAGATTTAATTGAATCAAAATCTCATCAATCAAATAACTTCTCTATTTACATTTTGACACATCATCATTATATACATAGTCATGTACAATAAACATTTTCCAATTTAGCCCGTGTACAGTGGAAATTAAAATCAGATCTTTAGTAAATTTTGATAAAATTTAATAAAATATGTGGTTGAAAAGTTGTGGAAGCATGATATATGTGGTTAAAATTATTTTTTTATTTTGATTTAGATTAAAATTTGAATTTTAATCGATATCAAACAAGAGCTTACTAAAGGACGTCACATTTACCTAAATTAATCAATGAACAAGGTAAGAGTCAAGATAACACATATCATTAGGAGTTATTAAAAATATTTCAAAGTGTTCGTTCACGCTTTATTTTTTTGCTTACTGTATCATAATTTGGCCCATGTTTGATAATCATTATTTGGCAAATATAATGTTTTAAATAGTGAATTTTTTAAGAATATGTGGTTAAAAAGTAAGAAAATTTTTTAAATTTATGTGCAAAATGTTATATTGTGTGAATATATGGTTGAAAATGAGCATCTAGAATAAAGAGTTTTAAACAATGATTGTCAAGGAGGGGCTTAATCTTCTAGTAGTCGGCTATATGTACTATGAGTTGATGATAGTTATATAATCTACTAGTAAGAACTCTCTCACATATCACAACTTCTACTGACACGTACTCCACCTCAATTCTATTTATGCATGGCACCCAAAGCTTTAGCATTGAGACTACATCGAGCTTGGACCATACGGCTATCTACATCTCAAGTACTGTGCTTGCATTGTCTCAATGCACACTTACAGTTTAAGTCGATGTTTATATCAAGTTTCAGTCCACACTACTAATACCTCACGCCATAAACCAAATTCAAACATCATACACTAGGCATCTAACTTGAGCACATCGTGTTCTAGTTTGAGCCAATTTCAATTGTCAACGTAATGACCACTTAATGACATCCATTTCCACACATTGTGACATGTTATACATCAATATATAAGCTTTCTCAAGCATAATTACATAGTCGTCAAATCTCGTATTTACATAGAATCTAAGTCATAACCCCATCTATACATTAAGGACGGCAACAAGACAGATTTGATATGGAAATCTCATTTACTTTCTCCATTCCACTTATGCGACATCAGGATAAGGAAAGAATATTGTTTCTACTTACTACCTCGTTTTATTTTAAATTTATTTATTTAACTTTCTTGGTAAATTATTACATGCAATTAATTAATAATTGAATATAGAAAATTAAAACTGAGCAACTGAAGAATAAAACCACATCTTTATCCTCCAGTAGGACAAAATAAAATTCCAAAAAAGCTTCACACTTAAATAATATGAAAAATGAATGGAGTGGGGAAGAAAATGTGTTTTAGAGTGGATTAATGTACTTGTACATTCAATGTGTATATCTTGAATGACATCCTATTTGGTGTAAAAATCGCGACCATTGATTTAAGAGTATGTTTGAGTCACATTATTTTAGAAGAATGTATTTTGGAATAGTAGATTGATGGAGAACGTAAAATTGAAAAAAAAAGAAAAATTATTGATGTGATAGAAAATATTATTTTATTGAAAAACGTGTGGTTGAAAATTAGCATAAGAATGAGAATGAAAATTTAAACTTGGTTCAAACATGGGCTAAATAAGTATTGGAGAAATCAATGGCGCAAGTGATTGTCACACCTTGGATGACCATCATAGAACGTTATTTAAAATGTCAATCATGATGTAAGTGTAACAAAATTGTCTGGAAGTAGAACATAAAAAGGGAAAACTTCAATAACATCATACTTTTGTCCCAAAAAAACTTTAAAAAGCCTCCTATTACTTAAATAATATGAAAAATGAATCCAAATCGGAGTGGGGAAGAAAATGTGTTTTAGAGTGGATTAATGTACTTGTACATTCAATGTGTATATCTTGAATGACATCCTATTAGGTGTAAAAGTCGCTACCAATGATTTAAGGGTGTGTTTGAATCACATTATTTTGAAAGAATATATATTGGAATTGTAGATTGATGGAGAACATATGATTGAAAAAGAAAGAAAAATTATTGATGTAATGGAAAATATTATTTTATTGAAAAACGTGTGGTTGAAAATTAGCATAAGAATGAAAATGAAAATTTTAATGTGATTCAAACATGAGCTAAATAAGTATTGGAGAAATCAATGGCGCAAGTGATTGTCACATCTTGGATGACCATCATAGAACGTCATTCGAAATGTCAATCATGATGTAAGTGCAACAAAATTGTTTGGAAGTTGAAAATAAAAAGGGAAAACTTCAATAACCTCATACTTTTGTCCAAAAAAAACTTTAAAAAGCCTCCTATTACAATTTTTTAAATACCTATTTTCAATAGAATACTTTACATTTACCCTCTTTTACATTTACCATCATAGAATGTCATTCGAAATGTCAATCATGATGTAAGTGTAACAAAATTGTTTGTAAGTAGAACATAAAAAGGGAAAACTTCAATAACATCATACTTTTGTCCAAAAAAAACTTTAAAAAGCTTCCGATTACAATTTTTTAAATACCCATTTCAATAGAATACTTTACATTTACCCTCTTTTATATTTTTAAAATATACTTCACTTTTCGTTTTAAATCATTATTTCAAAAATTCATTAAAAATCAACATTTTTATGAATTAAATGTCAACATATATATTTTAAATTTTTTTAATTAAAAACAATATTTTAGAATAACATGGTGTTGACAAGCAAAAAATGAAACTCAATTAAATGGTCCAAAAATTGGAGTCCAGTTAGGGAGTTCAAGACATAGACCCAAATGAGACCATTGTAGAATATAGCAGAGGCCCATAAATGAAGTATTATCATCGCTCAAGCCTGCAGAACACCTAGGATCTGAGTGAATGAAGTACTTTACTGTCGCCCGGAGCGATGATTTCATTCTCACCCAAACCTTTGAGTCGCTCAAAATTTGAGCGAATGTGGTGTCTTGAGATTACTTAAAACGATAGTTATTGAAGCGGTTAATGAGCAATTATATCACACCCCACAATCTAAGAATCTCAGTTACAAGCGGTTAAATAACAAGAGCAATAGTAACAGTTGCCAACTGCAGTTCCTTGACAGTCAGACAATACGAAGAAAGTGGGTAATTATAGAGCGCCAAGCAGTTCCCAGACAGTTCTACGGAGAAAACCGTCAAATGAGTATAAAAAGGAAAAGAAGATATAGAAGGAAGAACTCCGAATCATTCACTCTCAACAGAGAATATGTAATTTCAATTCATTTATTTTCTAAGTGCAAACTTTCAATTTACTTCGTGTGCTTGTGCCACTTGGAGGCGTTTTGTTTCTTCCCAATTATAATCTTCATAAATAAAACACTCATTTTTTGAACTTTGTTTCAAGAGGTTTGTTCCTTACACAATCATCTGAACCTATCTTTTAATTGTTAGCTCGCGCGAAACACATGGTTAACACACATATATATGTGTAGATTCAACCACAAAAGACTAAGCACGAACCCAAAACTCAAAATTCACGGTAACTATTCTCCAATCATAGGGATTATAAGCATGCCAATCACACAATGGACCACTGCTTCACCGCCAGAACATTGGCCCCGGTTAGTAATAATGTGTCAAGGTCCATGGTCCATCTGCTTCGCTTTACAAAGCCGTACTTCGGGGGACCATAGAACTTTACAAATCACTATGGTAATTATTTTTTACCCCTTTAAAAGTAGGATTCAGATGGGCGTTTTTCAACTCATCGTGCACAGCCTTCCTAGTTTAGGTCTATAGATTGGTACCGACACGTGAGCTTAACACTAACATGTCGGTTTTAGTTATAATTAAAGTAAACAAGTAGATTATTAGTTAAATTTTTTTAGTTAGTACGCCTAGAAAGTATAATCCATGTTAGAAGCAGTTTCATGAAGACAAGGAATTCCCAGTAACATGATCTTGTCTTGTCTTCGGGCACACTGTTCTCGACTTCTTGTATACTGACCTTGGAAATCTTGTGGTTTTCAAATTGCACATGTCCAGGTATTTGATAAGTGAAGGCAACTTAGCTGACTTAATAATGGTCACATGTAATGTTCTATATTCAGTCTTATATGGAACTCGACTGTGTAACAGACAATTTTAATAATAACGCTAGTAGTGTTAAATCTTACTTTTCAAACGTGAAAATAAGACAAATTAATATGAATTAGAACATGTAGTGTTTGTTGTAACATTATAAATTGGATAATAATATATGTACAAAGCGAGGATCATTCTCATGTGACGGATGATTAGGAGGTGAAAAATCATAAAATTAATTCAATGAGTAGATTTGAGGTCCACTTTTTATTCTTTAACTTCGTCGTTTAATGTCACATTAGATCAGAATAATCCCTCAATTTGTACAAGGTAGCACTGCTATTATAAATTGCATTATTACAACTTTTAAAATGAAATAATGGTAACTACTATTATCTGTGATCATCATCATCATCAGTTTAGGTGACAGTGATCCTCTCGAATGCATTGGACAATGAGTCCAAGACCCACTACAATCTAGATTATTGATTAATATCATTGATGATAGTAACCGTCGCTCTTTAAAATATACATGATAAGTTAAAGTAAATTTAAAAGAACAAATATAATCGAAAGAGATGCATGCTACAATTTATACCTTTTTTAGGATATGTAGAATCCATCTTACTAAACATTCATCCTTAGAATAGAGTGCATAAATTCAAATATTGTTGGACATTAAAAAAATAATAAGAGGAATACTATTTAAAGTTAACAATTGCGGTACGTGACAGCTTGCTAGCGAATAAATGCAGAATCTATTAAATAAATGCCTCCACAGCAGAAAGTAGTTGCTTTATGTACTAGTCTCGTTTATTTTTGTCCTCTCAACTTTTCCAGTCCATTTCCATAATGGTAACCTTTTGGTGGTCTAAACCATATGTCTAATTCCAATTTTCTCGTGTTTTCAAAACAAAAAGATTTTCTCACGTTTTTGCATTTTTGTATAAATATTTATTCTGAAGTGTCGTGCTTTTTATTCCATATTTTACTATGATGACGTGGTTCAATATATGTATTAATGTATAAAAACATATAAAGATATTTCACTGATTCTTTGTATACAGGAATGATCTAATGAGCACCGGTGCTCATTAGATCATTCCTGTCTTTGTATAATTTCAATAGTATTCATTTTGTTTATCTACATGTTTTTGATAGCACTGGTGCTCATTAGATCATTCCTGTCTTTGTATAATTTCTATACTATTCATTTTGTTTATCTACATGTTTTTGATTGTGATAAGGTTGTAAAAAGAGCTTATTTTGTTTATCTATATGTTATTTTTATTCTGATAAGGTCATAAAAAGTGTCATTTGCCATGATTACCAACACGGTCTCAAAAAACACGACTTCTTGTGACATCATTTCAAATAAATAATCACAAATTGAGGAGTACTAAACCTGAGAAACACAAAATAAATAATAATTCGAAAAACATAACACACCCATACATGCAAAGGGACATTCCGTTTTATATGAAAATTCATTTTGAAAATAAGATTGTTCCAACAATTTACAATGAAGGAAAAAACAAAATAAAAACTAAAAAATCATTTATTTTTTGTATAAATGTGTATACAAACATACAAAAATGAGTACAATTTAATACCCATTTATATTCATTTCCATTTATACCCTCCATCTTGCTCCTTAATTCTCCTTAATACCCCTTCCACAGCCACATCAAATGCATCCTTTATGCCCTCCAATCCTTCATTGGGCTTTGCATACACAATATTTGGTAAAATTTCAATCACTTTTTCTCTCATTTTCATAACTTTTTCTTTGCTAATGTTTTCAAGAACGCTCTTTATTGAGGTCCCATTTTTCACCTCATTCCGGTCTATGAAAACCGAGTAACTTTCCGGTTTGATCGGTAAGAACCACTCATACTGAAGGTAGGCTGATCGATGCCAGAAGAAAACCGGGATTGAACCGGCTACCATGCAGTCAAATATGGACCGCCGGGTGAAACTATCCCCCCGAGGCTGCAAACAAAAATTCGAGTCAAGAAATGTGGATAGAATTTCCGACGTGCCATTTGCGCACTTTGACCCGGCACAGTCTACGACTCGGCATGAGTCTGACTCGTTATAGCATTGATTCAGTAAAATCCCCCGGAAATCGTTCTTAATAATCCCTCTTGTTGCGCCGGCGAAGCAAAAGAGGGTGTTCCGCCGCCGTGTGCGGACAAATTCTTGCCAGTTGATTACGTCCGTGGCGGAGCTGGGGTGGAATCCGGTGGGGTAAGGGATTCCGACGTCGAAGTAGTCCCAAGGGTTTCGCTCAATCAACAACCGCGTGATGTTACGCATTTTGGGCATGTAAATGCAACTCGAACCCCAGTCTTCCTCTTTCGATCTGCGAAAATCCCATGAAATCCGGCCCATGGAGATAAAATGGTTCCAACCATTGGATTTCTTTAAGTAAGGTTGATCACTCACCCAATCGAGCATCATCTTGCAGTATTGATCGCGTTCTTTTGCTGTGGAATTGCTGGTGAACAAATACTTCTCGATCGCAAGACCAGTGTAAAACGGAATGTAAAAAGCCGTAGCAGATTCCGGTTCCAAGGTTCTACACCGGTAATTCAGCATGCGATTATGGTAAATTAGCTCCGTCGAAAATTGGTCGGTCCAAAACCAAGCTGGCCTTATATTGTCCGGGACAACTTTTGAAATCCCGGTGGCCCTTTTGCCGAAACCGGAGTTTGAAAGAGCGTCGCAGCGTGAACTCCATGGGTTCAAATCGTGGCAATTTTTCACTATCTCGGAGTTAAAAAGTGGTGGGAGGTCGTAAATGTAGACTTTACCATCTGGGCAGCTTCCGGAGGTTGTGGAGTTATTATTGATAGTGGAAATGATTGACGTTGTGGCGATGGAGGTGGAAGTTGGGGAAGGGTTAGGTGTGCCGGCGGTGGATCGGTACAAGGGGATGGAAGGGGCGGAGAGGAGGAGGAGGAGCTGCAGGAGGACGACGGCGAGGAAAAACCATAAGCGGCGGTGGTGGAAAGACAGGTAGGGTTTTAGCGTGTTGAACAAATTCTTACGACCTAAAACTTCTGGGGTTTTGGGTTTTGAGTTTGCCGGCTGGTCGGAAGATGCGGTATTGGAAATGGGAAGCATCAGTGGTTGTTTCCACCGACAAATTGGTGGTGTTGCCGTGAAATAGACGTTAAGTAGCAGTGTCGGTGGTCAAGGTTGCGCCGCCTGTCACGTTGGAAGAAATAGAGGAATTGGCGGTGGCGGACGTCGGAGAACGGGGGAATATGTGCGTGGAATCGAAGCTTAAATTTGGGAGAAATGGTGGGGGGTTTGGCTTGAAGATCAGTAGATAGTAGACGCGTGTACGCTGGAGTTTTATCAGGAGGAGAAGGGAAACCGACAACTGAAGGAGCTAAATTAGAAATCAGGCTTTTATCAAGGCAAAATTGGCTTAGTTACGTTACCTACCAAAGAAAGGTCCAAATTTATTTCAATTTTAACTACAGTCCAACCTCATCAACTAGTTTGATGTTTTAGATCTTCTGCGGGAGGTTCGAATCAAAATGCGCACTCCTATTTTCAGCTTATAAATAAATAAATAAATTTATTTATAAATTACCAATTTAGTACATGATATTAGATTTGATTGGACAACAAAAATTTTGTTCATAGTATTGTATTATATCATGTTCAGTACGACTTAATTAACGTAATGATAGTCTTTAATTTTATTGTCTCATTTAATTCATTTTTAATATATACGATTTTTTGTCTATGCGACACACCGTCACTTAATTTAATGAAGTAAAAATCACTCGGTGCGACACGATATATCATTTTCATCAAAGATGAATGGCATTGGGTCCAAAAAAAAATGGGTTGCCGGTTTGGTAACTCAACGTGTAGGATGAAAATGCTACATATCCAAGGCTTATTGCGTACAAAACGAGAAAATTATATTATTTGAATAAATAATATCAGGGTAGCTTAAAATCTACGTATAAGTAGTTTTAAAATGGATAATTTATTGTGTTATTTTCTATAAAAATAATTTTAATCTTATTATTTCTAAGAATGGCCTATTCAGTATTCTCTACCCGCTTACCGGTTAGTTTTCATTAGTATAAAGTAAAATACAGTTTGTGGGTCAAATGAAAAGTTTATGACGATTAAATAAGTGGGTCAAGTTGTAAGTATACTAGAATTATTCAAAGTTGATCACATGTAATTGGATTGAAGGTAGGATTTCGATTTCAAATTTTTTTTCAATACAAAAATCCATATAAATTTAGGCAAAGTTTCTAAGCCGCTCTAATTTAACCTAAATTGAAAAAAAAAAACTAATACAATAGAGAGTGACCATAATCACATTATCTCCAAATTACACAAGAAAGAGAAGAAGAAGGATTAAAGCCATGTTTGATTGCAACGAATTCCATAAAAAATGTCACATTCGAGAAAAACAAATTTCACTTTGACAGTTTGATTACAATATGACAATAGAAATCGAATTCTAATATACAACTACTTTAATCTGCACTTTCTTTATTTTCATAGAAAACGAATTCAAATGGGTATGGTGAGTTTTTATTTTCAAACTAACATGGAATTAGAATTCTTTTCCACATTTATCTATCAAACGAACCATAAAAAATGTCCGAGATGTTGGAGAAAATAATGGTGAATCAAAGTAAATCAATCAAACCGAAGGCCCGTGTTCACACGGTTTCCTTAAATCNGTGTTCACACGGTTTCCTTAAATCGAATTCGCCGCCTCACCGGGGTGCACGAGGTTTTTGATCGGTGTTCGATTCCCAGGAAACAATCGGTTATCGGTCCACGTTGCACTACGTTACCGACCTACGAACTAGCTGCGTCTATCTCTCAAATGAATCAAGCAAAGAAAGAAGGAAACAATAACAAAGAAAGGAGGAAACAACCAAGCTGCCGGAAAATGGAAAGAAAAGAACTGTAGGATAGGTTTTCTACTATGGTTGTGTTTGTGGTTGTAATCACTTGTTGTTGTTGTGTTTTCTTCCTCACTAGTGCTCCTCTATTTATACACATAGAAGGAGAGATAGCCATTAATATTTCTGCTGAAACTGAAGAGTAATGGCTGGCCAAAACTGAAGAAATAATGGTAGAAACCTGGCCAAAACTGAAGAAATAATGGCAGAAATGAATGGCAGAAATGAATGGCCAGAAACTGCTGAAATTGAATAAGTGAAACTGCTGAAATTGAATAAGTGAAAACTGATTTTTTTCATTCACTTTTCATTCATTTCCAACAATGTTTTCTATCAATAGACGAGATACGAGTCGATGTCAACCCCTCACCCCCACCCAATAACCTAGGCGCGGGTATTTCCTTGGCTAGAATCCAGAAATATACTCAAATAGAGCATCACAGACTAGTGTAATTGCATTTAACTTCAGATCCATCTCAAATTATATATTTTCTAAAATCTCTGAAGTACTTCAAGGAATTTCATATTTGAACTGCTACAATCATTGAACACGAAAGGTAAAAGAGAAAAATGGGCCAAACACCGAAGGGTGATAAAACTACAGTAGTTTTCATATACATGGTTGCTAGAACTGTGACACGGCTTATTTTTCTCCGCAAATAGATTTCGCAAAGAGTATTAATTTGCATTTGATTAATTCCAGCAAAAATGGTAGTCTATGCAATATAATCACTGTCAAGAGACAAGATGATCAGCTATTAACAATACAACTCCCATAGTCTATCTATGAATCAAAAACATCTGCAACTGAAATTAACATGTAAATACTATGAAAATCTTACCTTTCGTAACATTG